AAAAAAAAAAAAAATAAGCCGAACCAGGTAATGATCGTGCAGTTAGCGGGGCTGGAAGGATGCCAACAATATTCAACAATACTCCCTGAATATTCACCCATTCGTATGTGGGACGTAGGCGTACGTAAAAAAAAATTTAATTCAAATTTTCAGAGTCGCGCTTGAACAAAAACATTCTAAAATTTCAATTTCCCATCTTGTCTGGTTCCCGAGTTAGGAAAAAAAAATTGCCTAAATTTTAACGTTTCGGTGCGTGGATTGTAACACACGCGGAAATTGAATTTAAGTTTCAAGGATTTCACATAGAAATGAAAATTTTAGATTTTTGTCTCGCTTGACCCGCTGTTTAATAAATTCCCCTCTAAAACTTTCGTTATGTCCGTACCTGAGACTTAGGCAAACGTGAAGCTGAATTTGGATTTGTGGGTTACACACCGGCAGGGAACAACTTCCGGGAATTTTTTCCTGACTTTCTTGGTTGTTGAGTTGGAAGTCCCGAACAAAGTTACGAGCATACCCAAGCAAGGTCTCAACAAAAAAAAGCTTATTTGAGTTTTTTCGTTGGCGTATATAAATTTGCATGTGAAAGTGGAAAACTAAATTTGTCTTGTGTATCCACTCGAAGTAGCAACTGCCAGAAGCATCTTCCCTGTGGGCGTGCTATCGGTGACTCCTTCCTTCGAAGATTGTTTGTAAGTGAGCTGTAACAGTTTTGACCCTTGGCATGCGCCAGTACCAAATGGACGAAAAAACTAATGAACAAATCCTAAGGAGATTGAGTGTTTCACTGGCAAAGAAGATTCGTCGATTTTTAGCATCAGAGTAGCGCTGCTTGTCACAGCAGTATGCTGGCCCGTGTGCGTCTGGATAATTCTTTTAGTTTTGAGCTTTTTAGGCCAGGGATTTAAAAGCTTGGCAGCTTATATCCTAGCCATATGCTCAGTGGGACGTTCGCACTCCATTCTGTTTCTGCCTCTGACTTTATGTCCAGAATCCTGCTTTAATGGCTTAAAAAGTAATAAAACATAAACCTGGATTTTAATGAATCTTTCGCACATTGCTTGTTTAAAAAGACCTGGGAAAAAATTTACTAACTCGGGAACGAGAAAAGCTAGAAAGCTGGAAATTTAGGGAAACATTCCTTGCCCATGACGACTAAAAGATTCCAAATTAAGCTGCTTAGAATCGCCCGCAACTCACATGCAGGCACGTGAAAATTTTGGCGAGAAAACTGTCAACCCAGGGGCGAGAAAATCCAGAAGGTCGGAGTTTCAAAGGGATGTTCCGCAGTTACGTGCAAATTCAGTACCTTTGATCGCGCGGAACTCACGTACGGACATGTGAAAATTTTGACGGAAAAACCGCCAACTCCGAGATAAGAAGAGCTAAAAGGCTAAAACTTTAGGGCAATTTCCAATACTCATTTGCGGCGAATACTTTAGAGCTGCTCAGGGCTTAGTGTGGATACACAAGAGTTTTGGCGGGAAAGTTGCTGACTCAGTAGCGAGAAAAGGTGAAAGAATGGAATTTTAAGGGAATGTTCTCTACTAATTTGCGACTAAAAGGTTGCAAATTCAACTTTTCTAGTGGGGTCTTTTTCGCGTGCCAGCAACCTTCCATTTCTCGGCTCACTGGAGCCGACACCTACAATTGACATGCCACGTCTTTCAGTTAGCATTCATACCACTGATGCATCCCGCGCCTGGTTCAAAGTCCCCCGTATTGGGCAACGTACAACCACAGCAACAGCCGCAGCAGCAGCAGCAGCAGCAGCCGCCGCAGCAGCAGCAACAACAACAACAGCAGCCGAGTATGCAGCAAATGCGCAATGTGGAGATGCAGCATCCTCAGCAAGTACAACCAAAGCAGGAAGTAGACGAGAGCGGTAGTAATGGCCTTGCAAGTCAGCAAAAGATTAAGCTCGGTTCGTTTCTACAGCACCTATGCATCGAGTCCATATTTATATGTCTCCGATATCTTTTTTTTGTTGTAATTTTTTATTTCTGAAACTAATTTTGGGTGATATCCTTTTACACTTGTCCAGCATTCCGGATGCTGACATCGGCATTGCTGCGGAGGTGCCATGGATACAGTTACTGAATGCATAGTTTTCGCTATAAATTCTTTTAGCCCCATGACATTTTTCATAGGACACAGTGAGTGGCAGCTTTGCCTTCCCCTTCTCTGTATTGGTATTTTTTTGAATTTTCTATTAAAAAAAGAAACACTCAAACATAGTACAGACGTTTTCTGTAGTAATATAAGCGTTTATTTTGCAGGAAATTTGCATTTCATTCAAGACCCAAACGACCCTCAGAAGTGGATTATTACTTCGGCAGCAGCTGATACTCCGACCGAAACAACCGCGCCAGCAGTATCGTCGTCTTATCAGCCGGGATATCGTTACAATCGACAGAATGAATTTGATGTTACACCAACTGCTTCTACGGTAGGCCAACAACTGGGATACAAGCAGCAAAAAACACCCAAAAGAACAGCCTGCAGCTGCCCGAACTGTCAAAGCAGTATCAATAACAAACTGTAAGTTGCTACATCTCTGCGCCTCATTTTCCAGTTATTTCTTTGAAGGGCACAACAGACAGTATGTGGCTTGATACGAAGGAACATCATGTGCAGTTTGGCTTTGGGATAAAACTAGATATGTCAGTAAGTCAGACTTAGAATCCCATGCTTTTCGGAGGCAGCAGATGAAAGCAGAGAAAAGGCAAGTAGTCAAAACCCCACGGATTAGTGCAGGCTTGGTGCGTTGGTGCATCCATTCAAGCACTGATTTAAAAGTGGAATTGATAACAGATTATAAAAATTTATGACAGCTGGTCTAAGTATTCTAAATATCGTAATTAATCTAAAAAATTCCATGATAATAAATAAATAACAGTAACGAAAAATAGAAAATGGAACCCTGAATTGGAATGTTTCGGTCCATTAAGTCGCAGTACGACAACTGGAACTTGTCAGTACGACGGCTATGATAAATAACAAGGATGTAAGGTATAAGAATATTATAAGAAAAGTTTAGGAAATATTTTTAAAGATAGGAACAGTACGACATAAAGATTATAACCTTACCACCAATATACTCACTTGATATTCGTCAGTTTTCTGGATAAAGTTTATGTTAGATAAAAAAAAATTCGTAAGTTCAGTATCAGCATACAATAATGCACTCTTTTCATCCTTTTTCGAATCACTTTTATAACGAAAAGCTTTCTTGAGCCTGTCTCATTGTTTCCTCAACAGTAAGAAATAAAAACTTTCAAATGCTATTTGTGAGAGTTGAGATGCTCCGAGTGGTTCGCTGCCGAGGTTTTCGGTGGCTGTTTATTCCAGCAGTTATTTTGGAGGGATGCTGGCAAGCATTCTGACTCCCTGGAATGCGTAATAGCGAATAGGTGTTGGTAGGATTTCTTACTGTTGTTTTTTGCAGTGTTAAAAGTGGCGAGAAACAGCGTTTGCACATATGCCACCTTTGTCAAAAAACATATGGGAAGACATCACATTTACGCGCTCATCTGCGAGGACATGCGGGGCAAAAGCCGTTCGCATGCGACTGGGCACACTGCCAGAAAAGGTTTACTCGCTCCGATGAGTTACAGCGGCATCGCAGAACTCATACGGGTAGGTTTGATATAATTTGTTTTCTTTAAACACTTATGTGAATAGCTTAAATCTGTTCGAAGGCAATGTGCGTTATTAGAAAGTTTGCAATGATTTTTTTTTTCCAGGTGAGAAACGTTTTGCTTGTACTCAGTGTGGCAAGAAATTCATGCGCTCAGATCACTTGACGAAACACGAACGGACGCATTCAACTGTCAGGGGCCACAACAACGCAGAGTCGGGCGGGCGGACTCGAGCATCGGTGGATGCGGCTGTACGGGCCGTGGCATCTGCGGAAGTAAACTCATCCCAGGCAAATTTGATCAGTACACAACCATCAGCTCTTATTAATTCAAATTAATTGTGTTTCGCTGCTTTTCTGATGCTTGGTTTTTTTTTTTTTTTTTAATTCAGTTAATTTTGATGATTTTTCCTGTGTTCTGTTTGGGCCAGCTCTCGATTGATGTTGGATACCTGTACCCCAACACTGCGAGTTCGCAGGTGTGGTTTCTCATCAAGCTAGCCAGCATTTACCACTAAAATAGTTTTCTATTTCGACGTATTTGCTGCAATACGTTTTTGCCGGGTTTTTGTCACTGCGCGTTTATTTGTCTATGTGTGTCCAGATTTCAAGGCCTGGGAATGTTTCATATCAGTGTGCAGCCATGAAAATTTGAAATAATGGAACAGGGGGGATCAGGAGGAATGTGATTTGCAGAAAACATGTTTAGGTGCAGTCTGTGATTCATCCCTTAGCTGTAAACACGGGGTGGGCGCTGCAGGAGTGGGAATTATTAGTACAGCCTTCTACTCTACCACGTATATGATGAAGCATGTATCAAATAGTGCAAGTTTAGGGTAATGAGAAAATGGGAACGGGTGGA